ACGTGACAAAGCGTGGTATACTCTTAATTATAATATATTTTTTGCAATCATCTTAAATAAATATTTCCATAGAGATTTCCTGTATGTATATATATTTTTTATATATATAATATATAACAGAGAGATATCTCATTTTTTTCTTAAACCACTGTTAGCATATTTTCCCTGCTTGTCCAAAAAAATGTTACAAAAGCCCTAAAATTGTGCAACAGTTAGAAAAAAGGGACAACAACCCAAAGAAGAAAGGAGCCACTCAATATAGCTCCATCCACCGCTCCCTCTCCCACTCTCTGTTGACCTGCAGGTAGGAAGGACATTCAGCCAAGGGGCAGGGAGCCCGTGGGTGGCCTTTGGGGGATGGATGGCAGAGGGGCCACCAGCCCCTTCTCTGATGTTCCCACAGCCTGTTCACATCTGGGTTTCCCTGCCTGGTATGGATGAGCTGGGACCTGCACCTTTGGAAATGGGTAATGGCGACGTCTCTACCCTGCTATCAGGAGCATGGTGGTTGCATCAAGAGAGCAGTGTACACCATGAGATGCATCCTGTGGTGAGGAAGAAGGGTTAGCTTGGCTCCTGGGATGAGCAGAGGAGGTGGTTATGGGATCGTCTGCTGACAGACACCTCTTGGTCCATGGGGCTGTGTGGCTGCCCTCTCAAACACGGCATTGCTGTTTGCTGGTCCTTCCCAGAGATCCTGCTATTGGCTGGACCGTGAGCTCAAAGTGGGGGGAGATGGCTGCTGCTGCCTGTTCCAACCTCTGGGGCTCCATGTAGGCATCAACTTACGGAGGGCAAAGGGAGGGGAGGCAGGTTTGGGGTCAGACGGGGGTTCAGTGCCTGGCAGATGGGGCATTTACTCGGCGGGGAAAGACAGCTCTCCCAGTTGTGCCTGGTTGGGGTAAGGAGAGGACCGCCCAATCCTCCAGCAAAAAGCAGAGGCTCAGGAGTGGCCTCTTCTTCCAGAGCGGCCACACCAGCAAGACCTGAGAAATGATGATGTTGCAGCTGGACCTGGACCCGGCAGACAGAAAGGGAAAACAGGCGATTCCCAAGCCCACCTGCGGAGCTGGGAGCCTGAGACCACTGCAGCAAGTGCTTCCACTCAGATATCCCCTGTGGTCTGCGAGAGGTGGGAGATGATCAGTTGGAGGACTTCTGAGTTTGGTTTGACCCTGACAGCCAGGCAACCAGGTGGTTTGGGCCGTGTCTGTACTAGGAAATGAAATGTGCCATAGCCTGATGGGGACAGGAGGTCCTTTTTTTTTCAGTTTTCCTGCAAGTTTAGGAGAAATCAGGAAATGTGAAGGAAGACAGAGACAGAAGCTGTTCACCATGGCTACTAAAAGAAAGGGTGGTGGTTTATCAGTGCTTGCTCAGAGATGCTCTGGGGATACAGGAACCTGCTCTGGAGAAGCAGGTCAAGGTGGGGAAGAGAAACCAGGCAGAACAGACCCCTAAAGTGCAGGTGCTTAATGCTGCCAACGTGGGCAGGTTGGAAAGTTGGGTCTTCCTTGGTCAGGCTTCAGCTTGACTGGAAGACTAGAAAGGAGTTGAAACCCCAGACTCTGTTTCCCTTGAAAAGGATTGGGAGCATTTTAGGTGTTGCAAGGACATCCAGCTGCCTCCAGAGGAACCTGTCGCTGGAGAGATGACAGTAGGGAAACCTCAAAGAGGAGAAACCACCTCCAAGAAGATCGCTCAAAGCCTCCCTGGTCACCAAGATGTTCCTCCCTAGCAGTGACCGCCCAAACTGGGCTCTCAAAAGAGATTGTATCTACACCAGCATCTCATCCGCCATCCCTGGCAAACCCCACCACACTCCCTGTCCCAGACCTTTCTCCAGCAGCAGCTTCACCCTCACAGCCCACCTGAGGTCCACGTTATCGGCACCTCCAAAACCAGGCTGAAATTACATCTGCACTACAGCCCCCATGCAGAGCCCTGCTGTGACCTCCTCCTTCCTCATCCATCTCATACCAATCCCAAAAAAATACTCCTGACACCCAGAGAGCCTGAGCTTCAGGAGGTAGATGAGGCACTCGCCATGGCTGGCTTCAGAGCCAGCTCTGGAGAGGGAGAGAGAGAACTGTGAAAGAGCTGAGTCCTTCCTTTACAAATGAAAAAAACTTCAGCACTACACAACTACAGGAAGAAAAACAGATCTGTAAAAACACCCAAACTCTACTTTAAAAGCTAATCCTCTCCCTGCACGGATTTCCCTGCTTTGGGGCCATCTCTTGCAAGCCAACAAAGCTCCACAATCAAACAGCACAGGTCCACCAAGGGCATGGGTATGCACATTTGCACCTGTGGAGAACCTGTGTGATTTGCCCCCAAAAAGGCATCTCCTTACACACATCACCAGCGAGCAATCATTGCAACGCCGGCACAGCAGGACATACCGAAACACTTCTCAGGGCCTTTTCATGCCCCAACAGTTTGGATTTCTACCCCTCCATCCAGTGGGAAAATATTTTTGCAGTCTACAAGAATGGGGCTGCATTTCGCGCCGCAGCCGTCCCTGCCTCGACAGAGAGCAAAGCATTCAAAACCACAAAAAGGCAAAATACACGCTCAGAATTTACATGGAGAAAACATTTCCCTTTTTTTTTTTCTTTTTTTTTTCTTTTTTTTTTTTATGTCCAAAACAAGCGGGTTTTTGTTCATTTCTTTGTTTTTCAACACACGCACCGTCTAGAAAGTTAAACGCCATGCAGATGAAGAGAGTGCAGCTAGAAAGTCCCCCGGGGCAGCAGCGCTGCAGGAGTCTCACATCAACGAGCAAAGAGGTTCCAGTCGGAAAAAAGGAGAACAAGAAACGGAAGAATTGCCGGAAAAATACCCACCCTCGGACCTCTACCTGACGGCAAAGAGGTGAGACCAAAATTCCCCTTCACGGCCATGTCTTCTCTCCTGAAAGCTGCGTCCCAGTGGCTCCCCAAAAGCCACCGCCTGGGTTTGCCCTGCAGGAAGACCCGTGGGGTGAGGGAAGGTGCCCCAGGGACAGGAGGGGTACCGGGGGGTCATGGGTGCCTTCGCCCTCCTGGTGCTGCGGGACGGGATGGGACGAGCCGCCGTGGCGCAGGGTGGGGGCTGGCAGCCGCGGGACCCCTGGTAGGAGCATCGTGGTGGCGCAACCCCTCTCCAAATGTAAACGCAACAAAAAACAGCAACCCCAGAAAACCCCCCCCCCCTCCCCGCCCTAAACAGTTTAATGTTTTTAGTTATTACATAAAGATCCATTTCAGCAAATACTCAAAATCAAGTTACGAAATACACGGTAGGTTGTTTTCTTTTCCCTATAAAAAGGCATGCGCTCAAAGTAGAAGACAGCTAAAGGCTTGTTTGTTTTCTTCGAAGCACGAATCAGATTCTGCAGAGTTTCGTTACTTTATAAAGCTTGCATTCCTCGTCGTCGCTGGAAGGAGTGGTGTGGGCCATGGAGGTTTGTGCCCCGAATCGGTGGACAGCTCAGCTGCCCCCCCATCCCAGCCCGGGAGTCGGGCACAGGGGAAGCGCCGGGTGCTGCATGCGAGGGGCCGGGGTGGGTGTGCGGTGGGGCTGGGTGCTGGGGTAAAGGGTCCAGGCTGGGGGGTGGATGGGGAGGAGGGTGCGGGAGCGATGCTATCGCCATGGAATGGCTGGGCGA